GGAGTGGCAATGACAAAGTATTATATAGGTTATGTGACCAAATGATGGAGGACTAGACCTTTTCTACAATGCTCACTGACTCCCAAACACTCCTCCAAAAGAAGACGTATGTGCCAGAGGAAAAGGAATCACAGCTGTCTCCACAGGCCAGGACATTAAGAAACCTAACAAGGTAACAACCTTATGACAGCAAAGAAACTTAATCCATTACTTGCTCACTCAGCAAATCCCACCACAAGCCCCCATGCTCTGGCAGGCCACAAAACTCAACCTTCTGGCTTGTGCTCTGGAATGCGCTCAGAAATGTCTGTGATGCTGTCTCGATGTCTGCCAGCACAACCTACCCATGCCTCACCCCACTATCCTGAGGTAGCAAGCAAATCTCAACTCTGATTAATATGGGAAAGCAGAAGCATGCTCTACCAGAGGATGCAGAGCTCAGCCAGAGAACAAGAGACTAGAAGACACTCAGACAAGGTCCCAGCATGCATGAGAGTAGGGCTACACTAGGCTCAAAGTTGAGACCATTTCTGTCCCCCCAGGAAGTTCTTAAAGCAGGAACTGAGGCTGGCAGAAAATGAACTCCCCAACATAAAAGAGGGCTGAGCCAGCTTTGAGGCCTAGGCCCAGGAAGAATACCTTCAAAAAGGAAGGAGTCAGAAAGTGAGCAAAAGGGGAACATAAGTAAAAAGGACTAAAACTAAAATGATCTCAGGAGGAAGAAAACTCAGTTAAAAACCTAGAGCACACCTAACACCCATGAGACTGCCAAAGATGACAAAAGAGGAAAATGAGAATGTTGAAGGGGCTGTGGTGGGCCTGTGAATTGGTCCAGCCATTCTAGAAAGCAATTTGGAACTATGCCCAGAAAGTTACCAAACTAAGCATCCCCTGTGATCCAAGTTATACTACTAGGCCTATGCCCCCAAAGAAATGAAAGACAAGAGAAAAGGATCTCTATATACAAAAATACTTAAACTCTTTTCATGATATACAACAATTGCAAACTAAGGGATTTTGAGGAATGATGGATGGCTAAACAAATGCTAGTGGCTAAACAATGGCTAAACAAATTGTGGTTTATGAATGTAATGGAATATTACTGTGTCATAAGAAATGATGAAATGGACAATTTCAGAAGAAACTGAAAAGACTTTTATAAACTGATGCACAGAGAAGTGGGCAGAACTAGGAGAGCAACTTATAAAGTAACATTCCAAAGAAAAACAACTTCGAAGGACTTTAACACTTTTATCAGCATGATAAGTCACAGGGCCAAAAGAATAAAGATGAAAAACACCATCCACCTCCTAACAGATGTGATGAACATAAAATGCAGAGAGAGATACATTTTTAGACACGGTCAACTCGAAAATACAGCTGTGTATTTAGGAGTTTATTTTTCAAGATTTTTTTTTGTTATTTCCTCAATGAGGAAGTGGAGGGAGACAGTGGGGAGGACGGATTAATTTTTTAAAAAGAAAAGTTTTGTTATGTTTGTTATATTTTGTTTGTTGTTTGTTACACTACAACTTGAATATATGTTATGATATGATATTTATTTCATTATAAATTACAGCTATACTGTAATGTTGCTCTGAATTAAATTTTAGGCATTGAACCATACTGCCAAAAAGCAATGCTGAAAATATACTCCATCATCTTGGTACTAAAAAAAAAATTCTCAGTTCACTGCCTAAATGGAGTAGACTGCTATTGACATTACTGTAACTGGGAATGAATGGGTAAGTGCTTACTGACAAAAACAATGTGTTAAGTGAACAGAATTTAAAGTAGACACCATTTGTGTTTTTAAATCACTGCATTGCATTGCTTGACTTCTTGAGAGAAGATACAAACTGAGTAAGAGTGGAGAGGAAAGACAGGAGTACAGAGGTTGAATGGAAAATGGAAAAATAGTAAAGAGCAAGCTAACTTTTTCTTTAATGGTATCTTATGTTTTATAATGGTACCTGCCCATGCACAGGGTGATTCAATTAATCAACAGGCATATGTTGAGTCCTTACTATGTTCCAGACATTCTTAAAAGGCATTAGAGATACAAAGACAAAAAATCAAATAGTTCCTACCCTCAGGGAACTCACATCCTGTAAGGGGAGAAAATTTGTGCACGTATAAATATGTACCAAAAAGAACACAAGAAGAAAGAACATACTTTTCTTCTAAGTAGTTCCAAGGGAAAGAACTAGGACCAATGAGTAGATGCTGTAGGAAGACAAATTTTAGTTCTATAAAATGACGATCTTTCTAACAATTAGAGTTATCCAAAAATGTATTAAGCTGCCTTATGAAACAATAAGTTCCTCATTACCGGAAGTATTCAGACAAAGGCTAGGTGACTGTGTGTTAAGGATTCCTATGCATCAGGGGTTCTTACCCTTCTTTTTTTTTTTCCTGTCATAGATGCCCTTTAGGGGTCTAGTGAAGACTCTTCTCAGAAGTGTTTTTAAATGCAAAAAATAAAAAACAGTATTATAAAAGAAACCAAATATACTGAAATAATTATTAAAATATTTTTAAAACAAGTTTACAGACTTCAAGATAAGAACTCCTGCCAAATAAGGTCATAGATTTACTCAGATTAACCACGGTCACTTCCACCTCTAAAAGTCTATGTTTAAAAGATTTGATGGTTTTAAAACAGATGCTCCTGACACTGCCAATGTGACAGCAGAGGATATTAAAATCTATTTTATTAGTCATTCTAGTTTGACATGAATTACCCTTCAAATCACTTTTGAGTAATTTTTTTCAAAAAGACTGGTGTTTCTAGATATTTCTTACTTTCTAATGCAAGGGCTCAGATTATAGCAGGACAAAATTAGGGCTATTATGACCTTCAGAATGATTTGCATTACATAATAAAACTGCTAAGCAAGAAGAATCTCAAATGAATAACTGACAACCATTTTGGTAACCCTCTACCTTTATAATTCTGTTTACATTAAACAAAGACTAAAGAATGACAATATATTAATGCTTAAAATTTTTTATAATCACACAGCTAGCTATCAGAGGTAACTGGAATCCAGGTCTCCCTTACTCCCAGTCCAGCACTGTATATTGTGTCAGGCAGCTTCTCAATAGTTCTGTAACAGGAACCGGTCTGAGGTAACCTGTTTTGGTTAATGGATTATTTAATGTATTTCTATTCATTTGGAAAGGGAAGAAGAAAGGAATGAGCAAACAAACTGATGCCTAAAGAACAGCTAACATTAATAGCTGATAGCACTTACATTATCATATGATAAATGAATTAAAGAGTTGTAAACAAAATGTTATTTAAGCTTCAAGGGGGAAAGTTGTTACCAACCACGGAGGTCAGGGAAGGCTTCATGGAGGAAATGGCATCTGAGTTGGATTTTACAGAGTGACGAGAAATTCAACGACAAAGAGAAAGAGGCCATTCTAGGCAGGAGGAACAGCATAAAGAGTTGGAATTTGAGGTACAATGAGGGCAAAATGATACGAGATACAAGATAAGGCTGACACCAAGTTATCAAGGATCTAGAATGCCAAGGACAAGAGCCTGAACTTTACTCAGTAGGCAAGTGAGGCACTAAGCATTTTTAAGCCAAGGAGTAAAATGACCACATCTGTGTCTAACAAAGACTATTCCAGCAGTGCTATAAAGGACAGACTCAAGAGGGAGAATGGGATTTAGGAATTTCACATAATTACTGAACTTGTGGACTACAGGGAGCTTCAGGAATATCCTAGCCTGACATACTTATCTTACAGATGAAAAAACTAAGATCTTCAGAGGCTAAGTGACCACCCAGAATCACACAATCTTTAAAAATAAAGATATCGGTTTTCAATGACTATGGGGGGGCAGGCCATCAACTTGGAAATGTTTACCCCACCTTAAACCAAATTAAAAGCATCCATAATAAGGATCTTGTAGTCATGGAACAACTTAAGCAATTTTATAACCATATGACTTCTGGGGGAACATTTTTCTTTTCTTTTCAGTAATGTTTATAGAAAACAGGAATTACGAAAATCATATTACAATTTTATTCACATCTATATGTAAAATTTGCATACATTATTACCTTTTAGAGAAAACTACTGAGAACCTGTTGTGGCTACATCTAGAATTCTTTTACTTTTCTGATCCTAAATTCCAACTGCAGAAAATTAAAAAGAGTATTTTTCATGAAGGAATAACTATGAAACTCTTTTTACTTAAAAAAAAAAACTTTTTACATCGCCTTAAGTTCATTTATCAAATAAGTAAGTTGTGTGTCTTAAAGATCATTAATAATGTGGAATTTTTTTCAATGATTTAAAAATGCCTTAACATACTTTTAAAGTATGCTTGTGAAATCTGAAATCAAGTGGCATGCTTCGTAGAATTTTATAACTGAGAGAGATGTGAAAATTCATCAAGTCCATGGGTTCTTGGATTTCTGGGTGGGAGGGGGTCTGTGAACCTGAAGGAGAAAAAATTACATCACTAACCTTTAACAGAAATTTGTAGCATTCCTTTAAATTATTTAAAAACATTATTCTGAGAAAGGGACCAGTGACTTTTCCAGATTGCCAAAGGGATCCATGATACAAAAAAGGTTAAGAACTCCTGATATGTAGTACCTTATTTAACAGATAAAGAAACTGAGGCCTAGGGAAGTTAGGCAGCTTGCCCAAGATCACAGGATTACATAGGGCCAGAGATAGGGCTAGAACCCAGGTCATCTAACTCCCCTGTTGTAAGATAAATTAAAATTTTTAAAAGGGTTATTTTATCATGTTACATATTATATTCAATTATTTAAATCACTGTCTTACATAAGTTTAATGTGCAAAGAGCATTAGTGAGAACTTAGCCAAGTTCTTCACCATTCAGTGGGTTCTGTGTATGAATGTATGCTAGAGGGAAAAGGGTAAAATTGGCTAAGGTTCCTAAAATCTGCAGCAGATACGGTGACTACGCATGCTAAGACTTAGGTCAGAAAAATACGGATGGTACTTACACTGTGAACTCCTAAAGCTTTCCAGACTGCAAAACTGATTACACCAACTCCGCACCATGCATAAAGTGAGCCCCAACCCAATGCTCGCAAGGCAAGAGAAGAACCACTCTCTGGTAAAGCAGCTGTGGCAGTAATTCCCTGGAAATAAAAACAGAATAGTAAGAACAATGTGAATCAGAAAGAATGATAGAGATAAAAGGAAAATTACTCCAAGAGTAAGAATCACAGGATCACAGACTTAGAGATATTAAAGACCTCAGAGGCCACTGAATATGTTTTACAGATGAGGAAATTAAGTTTTAGGGAGGGTGACTTGTCCAAAGTCACACAGCTAATAAGTATCCGACCCAGGATTCAAATTTAGATCTTTTCATACACCAAGGGTCTGGTGCTCTATCTACTATACCACCTGGGAAAATGGTTAAGTGAGAGGTTATTCTAAGGACAGCTTTCTACCCACTAAACTAAATAATACAATAATATCTAGCAATTACATAGCACTTGAAGGTTTGTGAAGTGTCTCATTTAATCCTCACAACTTTGTGAGGCAGGTGCTGTTATTATCCCCACTTTACAGATGAAGAAACCGGAGCTGAGTGACGTTGAGTGAGCTCCCTAGGGTCACACAGCTAGTGTCTGTGGTGGGATCAAACTCATGACTTCCTTACTCCAAGTCCAACCTTCTATCTACTAAGCCACCTAGCTGAAAGAGGTCAAGTCAAAGAATCCACCACAAGGTAACTGGCTGTTACTGTTGTTGTTGTTTTTAACTGGGCCTCTGGATCCATCTTGCATAAGCTAGAAGCGCAGGGCCCACTTCTGCATGGGCCAATCCCATTGACTTACAAAGAAGGCTTGGCCTGCTCATTTCTAACCTGAGAGGGTTCAATCCTAGGTAATTTGGTTCCTCCTCCCCCATACCTTTACCACACCGCTTCCACACTTAGTATATGGACAGCTAATGGGGTTTTATCCCTACTGCTGCTCAGATTTCCTGAGCTCAAGCAATCTGTCAGTCTCAGCTTCCCTGGCAGCAAGGATTACAGGCATATGCAATCACGTCTGGCCCACAAGGATAATTCTTAAAGAAACAATCACTGAAGACCAATTTACCAGCCTCAAACTCTTGGCCCTCCTACCCACCCTAATCTTCTCACACACCCAAACACTCAAATTCACACAAAGAAGGGAGTGGAGGTAGGGGAAAAGGTGTCTCCATTTTTCAAATATTTGGCATCTCTGAATTTTCTTACTTGAAACTGTTTTTGTAGTCCTGTATATTATCATAATAATGTCTGCACTAAAACTAATCTAATTGGCTACTGTAATTTAAGGCAAGGACTCTGGATTTAAACCCTCTCATAATGACCATATACTAGCCCTAGCAACCCTAAACACAGCAAAGAGAAAACAGAAGAAGAGAAAGTTGGAAAAGAGTATGTAGACCCTTGGAGCACTCCTCTCTAGTGTCCTGAGGGGACCTTCTCTTCACCCCTTCATGACTAGTCCCCAGAGCTTCAGGCAAGGGAAAGATGAAAGGCAATCAGTTTAGAGAGAAGAAGATGAAGAACAGACCACTCAGAAACTCCTAAAGTAATGTCCCAAGTGGTAATCCTTACTTGCTAGGAGACAAAGACTTTATCCACCCTTCGTGTGAGATAACAAAGAACTAGAAGGACTGGGAGAATGGCACAATTCAGGGCGTTATTAAGGAAAAGGACTGGCACGGAGAAGAAAAGTTTTACAAAGTATATCATACTGTACATGTATGGCCTACATCAGACTGCTTGCCATCTTGGGGAGGGGGTAGGTGAGGAAGGGAGAAAAAAATTTGGAACTCAAAATCTTATAAAAGTGAATGTTGAAAACTATCTTTACATCTAATTGGAAAAAATAAAATGCTGTTAAGAAAAAAAAAAGTATTTATCATAGAAAAAGGACTGATAAAGAGACAGACAAAAGTTGACCAAAGATAAGAAATGAAAAGACCTTCAGAAAAAAAACAGTTTGAATGGAAAAGTACTTCACCACAAAGGAAAATAAGTCAAAATCTCTTGAGGAGGAAGGTACCACAATCAGTTCCGAAAGACTCCCTCAAACAATGAACCAACTCTAACAACCTACAGAATGATTCAGAAAAGCAATCAGAAAATTAAGTGAAAACATAAAGAAGGACAGAAATTAGAGCTCTGGCAAGTTTAGCCAGAGACTAAAGGATTTAGAAAAGACAGAGGCATGCTCCATAATATTCAATTATCCACGCCCCTCCCAAAAAAAGGCAACAGAGTTGGAAGGAAAAATGAAATAAAACTTGAAAAAAAGATTATACACATGAAAACTCTAAAAACAAAAATATTGAACTTAAAGAACAGATGCAGACTTCCAAAGACTAATGATGAAATATAGCTCTCACCTTTTGAAAGAGAAGTGATGGAGTAAATAAAAAAAGAAATGGGGATTAGTGGGTAGTGACAGATATTTAAAAATCATTAAGAAGACTACAGCAATTTGTCACTGTATTGATAAAATGAACACCTATATACATACGTTATATTATATGCACAAAATTATTTTTAAAACTTACATAACAAATTCAGCATTTCTTATACAATTAAGCAATAAATGAGCATTTATCAAGTACTAACTTTATGTCCAGCAGTGTGCAAAGTACCAGAAATGCGAAGAAAAAGAAAACAAAATCCTCCATCTAGTTCATATATTTGTAGTCTGTTAATTAAAAAAAAATTTTAAATAACACTATGAAAATGAAACCTGAATACCACACTTCAAGAAATCATTCAGAAAAATTGTTCAGAAATAGCGAAAGCTGGAAGAAAAGTACTGATTTAGAGAATCTAGTCCATCTATTAGTGATCTACAGAACACCAACAGAAAATTTAAATAAAATCCTGTTTAACAGGCTACATTCATTAGGACCAAGTTAGATTTATACTAAGGATGCAAGGACAGTTCAACATTAGAAAACCAATCAACACATTTAATCATATTAGAAACAAAATCATTCCAAACCACAATTATCTCAATAGCTATAAAAAGCCTTTGACAAAACACCACATTTACTTATGCTAAAAACCTAACAAGAAAGGAACTTTTTTTTTTAATATCACCAAAAGTATCTATCTAAAACCAAAATCCAGCATCACATGCAATGGAAATACACTAGAATCTTTCCCAATAAATACAGGAGTAAAGTAAGAATGCCCACTCTTCTCATGATTATTTAATACAGTCCTGGAAATGATAGCAGAAGCAATAAGACAAGAGAAAGAATTCAAAGGTGTAAACACAGGTAAAGAAGAAATAAAACTATCCCTATTTGCAGAAGATATGCTGATATATGCCTGGAAAATTCCAGAGAACCAGCAAAGATAAGTGATATAATGATAGCTTCAGCAAAGTTGCAGGCTATGAAATATAACTAGGCACTAGGCATTACAGTGCTTAGAGTGTTGAATCTGTATTCAGGAAGACCTGACTTAACCTCTATCTGCCTCAGTTTCCTGGGGATAATAGCACTTACTGCACAGGATTGTTGCAAGGATAAAATGAGACATTTGTAAAGCACATATGACAATGACTGGCACACGGTAAATGCTTAACATATGTTTGTTTCCTTCCTTCCTTCCAAAGTCAACTGCATTTCTATATAATAACAAAATCCAAGAGTCAATAATGGTAAGGGAAATTCTATTCCAAATAACTGAGAAACACATAAGATATTTGGGGATCAATCTACACCTCGGATAAAAATGAGAAATTATTACTACATCTAGGCTGAATGGGGGGAAAAAAATCTTTGTATCAAACTTCTCTGATAAAGGTTTGGTATCCAAGGTATAAAAACAATTAACAGATATATTACATATAAATACATGACCAAAAAATGTTCCCCAATAAACAAAGGATATGAACAAAAGTTCTCAAAAGAAGAACAGCAAAGTATCTATAACCATATGCTCCAAATCACTAATAATAAAAGAAGTGTAAATCAAAATAATCCTGAGGTTCACCCCACTCCCTGTAAACTGGCAAAGATAACAATAGTCAACTTTGGAAGGGCTGTATGAAGACAGGTACATTGGTCCATCGTTGGTGGAGCTATGAATTGATACAATTATTTTGGAAAGAAATTTGGAATTATACAAATAAACAGGCTAAAATGTCCATATCCTTTGACCCAGAGATTCCCTTACTAGGCTTAATACTCCAAAGGAAACCACAGATAAGAAGAAAGTCTCCATATCCCCCAAATACTTATAGTACATTTTTCGTGATAACAAAGACCTGGAAACAAAACAGATGATTGAGAAATGGCAAAAGAAACTGTGGTATATGAATGCAGTGCTATTAGAAATGAACACTGTGATAAATACTGAGAAGCATGGAAAGATCTACCTGAAGTAACGCACAGTAAAGTAAGCAGAACCAAGAAAACAATATCTACACAATGACTACTACACACATACACACAAACACACACTCAAAAGTGAATGGCGGGGGCAGGTAGGTGGCATAGTGGATGAAGCACCAGCCCTGGAGTCAGGAGGACCTGAGTTCAAATATGGCCTCAGACACATAACACTCACTAGCTGTGTGACCCTGGGCAAGTCACAACCTCAACTGCCTCACAAAAAAAAAAAAGATAATTGTTACATGGGATGCTGTCTGGAAGGGAGTGTGAGAGGACCACTGGGAAAAACTGTGGTCATGTATAAAAAAGACATAAATATAAACTTTTTTTAAAAAAGAAAACATTTCTGCCATTTAGAATTATAGTAGAAAAATGGAAGTACAGAGTTTAACTTGTTTTAGAAGAGTCAAAATCTGCTAAACCTACATTTAAAAATTCTCAGATCTAAACTGTTTAATAATTTCCTTCAAACAGGATATATTCAAATTAACTTAATAATTAAACTCTAATTATTTTTAATAAGAATGATATACACACCCTCCTCCTTTCCCCGGCACAGTGCGTCCTACAGCATGATTACATAGATACCATACAGATGTGTGTCTTAATTTCAAGTGACCTCATTTCTCTACAAAAGTAGAAACCATTAACCAAATTATAAATTGGAGGAAGCGTAAACACTGCTGGCACAATTCTGATTTTAGAA